GCAATCGGGGCAAGGCCAACGATGGGACATCGAGTGCCCCATTGGAGGATGACACGGGGGTCATATGCACGCAATGGACACGCATGTGGACGGCACGATGAAGGACCATATTGTCTCTTTGGACGCATGGCTCCAACAATTTGAGCAAGAAAAGGGCCATCGGGCCAAGTTCTTCCATTCCGACGAGACACCGATGGACACACGGTGATTATTCACCATGTTGAGTACACATTTCTTTTTCTTTATTTTCTCTTTCTCTTTGTTTCTTTTTATGTGTCCTTGTGTTTATGTGTTCATTTTCTTTTCTTTCATTTCTTGTGTTTTATGGTATTCACCGCATGAGCTTATATGATCTTGTTTTCCTTCCTTATACTTTGTTGATTAAGCAATGAGGACATTGTTTAGTTTGAAGTGTGGGGGAGAGTTTTTTTCGTGATTATGCATGCTTAAGTGGTGATTGCTTTGTCTTAGGTGTTTATCTTTTTTGTTTTTAGTGTCTTGGACCGGTTTTGTGTGTTATTCTTGTGTGTTTTTGTCGATTCCCCCTCGTGAAGTTCGATGTTTGGTCAATTTGTTAACTTTTATTGGATAAATTGTTTATGTCGTTTTGAACTATCTTGTTTAATGCCTTGTAATGATTCCAATTCCGGCAAGTCTAAGTAAATGAAGATTCGTGAATGTGGAACACATGATTTAGAATTACGTCTTGTTTTGTCCTTTGCAATGCCCGATTGGTCCATACTTTGAACTTGCGTGCTTTGAGGTCTCTTGTTTTTAGCATACATGTATTCTCATTTTGTACACTCCGTGACATTTTGTTTTGATCATATGTTGGATGAAATTCACGTTGTTGTATGGAATTGTTGCCCTCTCATTCAAAAAAAAAAAAAAAAATAATCAAAAGTGAGTATCGCGGGGTCGTACGGATTACACTCCTCTTGTTTTGATTCATCCCGGTGAATTATAATAATGAGTGCGGGAAACCGGTCTAGGGAACTCGAGGTAAACCCTCGAGGTCAAACCTAGATAATATTGTTCGGAAATCCTCGT